CTTACTATCAGTAAACTTGGGCAGTAATATATATTTATGAATCTGTTGGTCTGGAATATTTCATACTGAATGAACAAATCTGGCCTATGCCCAGTGGCCTCATATACAGAGCAGGCTTATTTTTGCCTTGAGGAATAAATATGATTTTTGACACCAACCTTCACCACTAATAACTGGGATATTAATCTAATTCTACTGAGATATCCTTTCAACTGAGATAGGGCTAGTGACAGATCATGTGTGAATTATGAGGATCTATGTACATTTCTATAAAGACTCCCTTCTCACCTCATCTCACCGGCAGACTAAAAAGCAGATTTCCAACAAGAACACTTCCTACAGCTGTGACTCATACTAACAGTATTACCAGCTCTCATGTATTGAGTACTTACTCTGCACCAGGCATTGCCTTAAGCACTTTACCTCTCATCTAATCCTAACTATAACCATAAGAGGTAGTTACTGTGATGATTAATCCCCATTTTACAGATCAGAAAATTGAGGCAGAGAGAAGTTAACACACGGGTAATAAACGTCAGCACTAGAATTTGACCGAGGCTGAAAGTCCCTGGAACTCATCATTTCCACCATTTCACTGACTCTCAGAAGTTTTCACTGCCCTCTTGATGAGAAATGCTATATTTTAGTGAGAAATGTTACATGGATGGTGGATTAGTAACAACAACAACATTCATAGTTAACAGTTATTGTACTCCTATACCCCTCCTGATGTGCCAGGCAGTTTATCAATTAATACTTTATCAAATTGATACCCCCATCTTACAGATAAGGAATGTAAGGTTTTCAGAGATTAAATAGCTAGAAATTGGCAGAGCTGGCACTCAAACCCAGGTCTGCTTGAAGTAAAAAATAATACATACAGAAAGTTTAGCTCCCAAGGTCATCCAAAGTGGGGCAGCATTCCTGCCGTATCTACACGGTACTATACATTGGAAATGGAATGGATAGACTCCACATTTCTGCTCCTTTCCCCAGGTGAAAGCACTTTAGAAACCTTTTTTTTTTTTTTAGCTCGCTGACTATAAGAACATGTTTTAATTGAGTGACCTTTGGCATGGTATTCATGAGTAGGGGCATTTTTGCATTGCATACTATATGCACAATTTGCCTTCTTGGTCATGTACCACAGTGTTCATTGCAGCTCTATTTACAATAGCCAGGACATGGAAGCAACCTAAGTGTCCATCGACAGACGAATGGATAAAGAAGATGTGGCACATGTATACAATGGAATATTACTCAGCCATAAAAAAAACGAAATTGAGTTATTTGTAGTGAGGTGGATGGACCTAGAGACTGTCATACAGAGTGAAGTAAGTCAGAAAGAGAAAGACAAATACCATATGCTACCATATGCTAACACATACATATGGAATCTAAAAAAAAAAAATGGTTCTGAAGAACCTAGGGGCAGGACAGGAATAAAGACGCAGACATAGAGAATGGACTTGAGGAGACGGGGAGGGGCAAGGGTAAGCTGGGACAAAGTGAGAGAGTGGCATGGACATATATACACTACCAAATGTAAAACAGATAGCTAGTGGGAAGCAGCTGCATAGCACAGGGAGATCAGCTCGGTGCTCTGTGACCACCTAGAGGGGTGAGATAGGGAGGGTGGGAGGGAGATGCAAGAGGGAGGAGATATGGGGACATATGTATATGTATAGCTGATTCACTTTGTTATAAAGCAGAAACTAACACGCTGTTGTAAAGCAGTTATACTCCAATAAAGATGTTAAAAAAGAAAAAATTTGCCCTTTTGGAACTAAATGGCATCTTTCAAATGTCCAAATAGGTGAGGACCAAATGCAGAAAACCAAAGGTTTTCAATTAGAAAACTTTTTTCTTATCTTTCTCTGCTTCCAATCTCGCATAACACTCTTTTGGGGTATCGCCAGACCTCAGCCATCTTCTTTGAGCTCCCCAGAAGCATACACTCCAGCAGGTATGTGTTAACACCCTCTCCCCTAACCCAGTTTGCTTACCACCTCTGATTAGATCAGAGATGACATCTGACTCAAGGTGAGCCAATCAGGGTTCTCTCCCAGGAATTCTGAATTAGCTCCATGGTAGAAAAGAAAATAGGAAAACTCAAAAGTTTTGTCCATTGATACAATGGGGTGGGACAAGCCAGTCTACAGAAAGAGAAGAAGCAGATGTGCAAAATGAAGTAAAAGTAAGAGAACTTGCAGCTCCAGAGGAAGAGCAAGATGGCTGCTCACTTCCTAGTTCCAATTCGTCCCTCTGCCTCAGGTACATTCCTGGCCTTGAGAGACATCTCAGGGTCTTTATGATTAAAGCCCCTCACTTCTCCTTTCAAAAATGTAATCTAGCTTAAGTGGGTCTTGTATTACTTAGAACTAAAACGGTCTTAACTTGGACACAATCGAAATAGATTTATGGGCAATTAGTTCCAAATTAAAGCAAGCATAATTCCCTAACATTTGCTCGAAGGGAAAACAGGTTCATTGCTTTTTCTCCTACTTAAAAGGACCTTCTTCAAGTTGTCGTGCCTTGCTTCCCTAACGTAAAAAGCTGAACAAAGATTCTAGGTGTGGGATCCCTAGAACTAGACCCTGAGACGAGGATTTGAGTGGAAGTAGTTTCCCTGGGAGGTGATTCTAGGAAGCACTGTAGGGGAGGTGGAAGTGAGACAGGGAAGGGAAGGAAGGCAACAAAGGGTGTGTTGTCAAACTGTTATCATCATGCGGAAGTGAAGCTTAACCCTCTGGGAGAACTCTGGGGGAGTCAGCATAGACCCCACGTCTCAGAGCCATCCCACACAAGGATGCAGAGCTGGGGTATCCATATGTCAACTACCATTAGAAACTCATTGAGGACTACTGGTGCATTTCCAGCTGCTGGGTAGTGGCCAGAAAATCTCTCAGGGGAAGAAATGCAGGTGCAGGGAGTTGGAAGACCTGGAGGTATGCAATCAAGTTGTAAAAGCAAGTGGATACGGGTGGGACACCCATAGCATCTGCTGCTGGCTTATGTGGAAAAAGAATACAGCTAGGAAAGATTTTAAAGTATATGCTCAAGAACAAGTTTGTTCTCATCCACTTACGGGAAGGGAATGATGAAGGATGACTACAATTTGGTATAGTTTTCAGCATTTTGTTCCTTGCCAATTCTCTGTTTGCAAAGGGTTATTTTTCCATTAACAAGTGGGACTGGGCAAGAGATGTGGGCTGTGAGGTCCTGCTTAAATGGTCTCTGATGAAAACGTTTTGGACTCACACTTGGGCTGGAGGAAATCATTCCAAGTGTCCGCCTGCACCACCTCCTCTTTCAGGCCTCCCAGCTGAAGGAAGGGTGACCAGTTGAAGAACCATCCCCCCACAGATGGTAAAAATGTGTATTCAAAGAGGCCACAGACAAGGCTGCAAATCTTGCTATGCTTTGTACATACGCTGAGTAGTAGAGGGTTTAAGAGGCTGGGGGTGGAAGGCAGTGGTTGAAAGCCCAGGGAATGGCAATTTTTCTTTCCTAACTTTCCCCTTGAGGAAATATTGCAAAAAGCTCCTTACTTGCTACTTACAGGGCCTTGGCAAGAAGGGGAAAGTGGGCATGCAGGGCTCAGCAATCATCCTGGAGAAAGGGAGGGGAGGCTCATATAGACTTTATCCACTGTGCTGAGCTTGACTCATTGAGTGGGTGTCGGGCCGCCCGGAAGTGTTGATGCCACCTCTCTGCCGAGGAGCTTGCTCTTTGCTTTTCTCTGCTGCTCCACATCTTACCTCCTTTCAAACTCCACCAAAGACCCATGTCTTCAGATCCCCCCAGCCTCCCTGCCCCACCTTCTGCTCCCTGGTGTTTCTTCTTGTGTGTGTGCTCACATAGCATCTGACCTGGATGCTGTCCTCTATGTGGGTTTTCCAATGTGTATGCCTAGTGCCTCTGCTAGTGAACAGATAGTTTGGGCAGGGATGCAAGTAAGCAAAGCTAAAAGCATAGAGAAGAGAATAAAACAATGTATTATTTGTTACCCACTTTCTGTGGTTCAATATTCTACAGTAATAGCATTGTGGTCAAGTGTGGATCTGAAGCCACATTTCCTGGATTTGTGTGTCAGCTCTGCCTGTGATGCTTATAGCTCTTTGCTGTATAACCTATCTGGGCCCCAGTGCCTCGCACAGCTTATGGTCAGTAAATACTGGCTGAATGGATGGGAGAATGAGTAATAGGATGAATGAATGAAGTGGAACATGATGTCCCGTAAACGCTGAGAATTCAAGGAGCAGGCCTACCTGTAACATTTGTGGGGCCTGGGACAGGAGAACAACTGGAGGCCCACACATGGCTTCATCCCACACTATAAAGGGACCTTTCATAAACGTGTTTGGACATCCCATCCTGTATGTTCAAGCTCTCTTCTCATCTCTAGTAAAAAGCAACCCCTAAGCTATCAGCTAGGTCTAGTGGGATGTGCTCTGGGAAAAAGACCTGGAGAAGAGGACCAAACGGGACCTGAAGGTGGACTCAGGGTCATTTGGGCAGAAAACCTGGAATTCCAGGTTCTCAGAAGAGGCAACAGCATGGAATGTGCACATCCCTTTGCCCTGCAGATTCCCTACCTATGCAGAGGTTCACCCAGACTAGGGTCAGAGTGGTGACCCCACAACAGGTGCGTTCACTTTGCGAACATGCATCAGTCTGTACGCCTAGAATTAGTGCATTTTTTTGTAGGTGTTCTTCTTTGAGGAAATTTTAATGAAGTTAAATAGGTATATAGACAGTAAAAATAAATGAAAAATGTTAACGATAGTGGAATCTAGGTAGTTAATGTAAGCATGTACCTTGTACTAGTCTTTCAATTTCTGTATGGGCTTGATTTTTTAATAATAAAAAGCTGGAAAAATTACAACAGTGGTAAGTACTATAAAGGCAAGGTCAGTGATGCTATGAGACCTCATAACAGGGGCATGGAGCCTTAATGTGAATTAGGAAAAGGCTCTGGCTCCAGTGTGTTTGCCCTGTGGACTCACAGTGTCACAAGTAAACTTGTAAGAATTAGAAAAAGGCATACCTTCTGCCAGGCAGACCAGTCCACGCCAGGGCACCTGGATTGGGAAGCAGGCACCCTAGCATCGTGAACAAACTCCATCATCATGAACAGCGTCAAGTGGGACAGGACTTGATGAGAGGTTAATTCGGTGAGAAGGAGGAGAAGGAACTTCCCAGGCAAAGGGGTCGCCATGGAGCAAGGTCCTGAGGTGGGAGCGATCATGATCCAGGACTCTCTACTCTCAAGAAAACATGCAGGAGCTTGGTGTGACCCAAGGCTGGAAAGATAGGCAGGGAAAAGAAGATCTGTGAAATGGAAGCACTGAAACTATCCAGGGCCAGGGAGACATGTGAAATCCCTAACCCTAACCCTAACTGGGCTCTGCAGTTGGCTAACTATGATTTGGGGCTTAACCTGTTTAAGCCTCAGCTTCCTCATCTACAAAATAAAAACCATCTTATATTAGAGGGTTAAGTGAGATTTGGCAAGTAAATACACGGAACACAATATTTAGTAAGTGTTCATAGCATTTCTTCTTCATGTTTATCTCTTCTAGCATTTACCTGTTCATCATTACCATCACCATTGTGTCATGGTAGCTAATACTTACAGCCCATACGATGCACCAGGTACTCATGTAAGCACTTCCTATGTACTAACTCATTCAATCCCCACAACAGCCTTTTATGATATAGGTCCTATTATTGTCCCCATTTTACAGATGAGGAAACTGAGACATGTGGAGTAACTCGGCCAAGAAAGATCACAAAAAAGCAGCTGAGCCAGGATTTAACTAGGCGACTGGCCTCTAGACTCTGTATGCTTAAAACACTGTGCCGTATTGCTTCCTTCACAAATAAACAAGAGGGGAAAATGCACACATTTAAAAGGCCAGACGCCCCCCAATTTTCCATTCTACATCATACCAGCTCTAAGATACAGTCTTGGGGCATGAAGCGCCACCATATTACTAAGTTTGCTATGAACACTTTTCTATTTACAAATCCCAGGGGCTAAGATGCTGCTTTGGATCTTTTTCTATCCATTCCAACAATTTCCTCAAACTTGAAGCAAACCTGAGTTGGGAGGAAAATGAAATCTCCTCTCTGGAGTGGCAGCATCAATTTTTAACCACCTCTGGCACAGTCGTAGAGTTGCAAAGCCTAGGGAAACGTGGATTGGTCATGGGCTCCTTGTATGACACGGGGTTGTGAAATTAGTCCAGGGTTTCAAAAAGTGAAGCGATCTGTTTTCTTTTTTTTCCCTCCCAATGTGAAGGTGCCATTCAATGTATCTAATTGCTGGAGCTCAAATGAAACGGAATGATTTTCTTAATTCTGGGCTCTGTCAAGTCAGGGACCAGTTGGAAGATAGAAACATCACTGGCTAATTGAAAAGAAAAATTTTAATGTAAAAAGTGTAAACTAGGAGAAGATCATTAACTACAAAAAAAGGGTAAAGAGATTCTAAGAGGCCCAGAAGCAGGAGGTGCAAAGAGTGGCTCCTCACTCTGGGCTGAGGAAGCGTGGGCAGCGAGGAAGAAGAAGGGGCTGGTGGAAGAAGAAGGCCCGGCAGCCCCAGCCTCCCTCACAGGCAGGGAGAGCAGCACATCCCCCAATGTGAAGGATGCCAAGAAGTGCTGGAGGGACCGGAGATCAAAAAAGAAAGAAAAAAGGCCAGACGCCCCCAAAGTGCACACAAGGCAATGTCTCCGCCCACAAGGCAAAATGCAAACCCTTTTGAAGAGGCTGCACCTACCAGAAAGCGTGCAGTCAGCTGATGGAGAAGAAACTTGTCAGAGGGCAGAGATCTGGACTGGCCTCTGGAAGTGGCCTGCCACTGTCAGGTCTGGGCACTCAGGGGTGAGAGCCTTGGCCTGGGGGCTCCACTGGAGCTGGTCTGTACACATCACTCAGGTTCCACACTGCATAATAAATAATAGGAGACTGAAACTCTGAAGGGAGGTCTTCCTGCCTCTAGATCCTTGAAGGATCATTCTACTGTTCAATTTTGACAAAAGCTAACATTCTGCTGGTCAGCAAAGGGAAATGTTTACAGGGTCTAGCACCAGTATCACAAAGCAGTGCAAAGAAGGGGGATTTGCAGCCAAGGGATAAAGAATTGTATCATACATGAAGCAGTTAGACTGAGTTCTTTTGAGAGTTATGTATATCTGTTTCTGTCTCTTTAGAAGAAATGCAGGAGTCCAACAGTTATACAGATGCTGCGTGCCAATTTCTTCCTTTGCCACCATTGTGCTTAAATCTCACAACTCGTGTGTGTGTGTGTGTGTGTGTGTGTAACTGATGTTCTAGGGAGGTGCCCTGCCAATTCTATGAAGCAAAGACTTTGTTTCACTCATCAATACACTCTAGTGCTTAGTATATGGCTCTGCATGCAGGAGATACTCCATGAGTATTTATTGAATGAATGGGTGAATGAATGAATAAGGGAATGCTATACCCTTAACTTACTCTGTGGAATATACTGTGCTGTATTCTTGAGTAATTCAAGGAGGTTACACCCACCCCAATTTTGAAAATCAATGGAGGAATGAAGTGTTGGCTGATTATGCAGAGCTGGGAACGTGGGGCTTCATGGGCCAGGACCTCGTGAGTTATCAGAGCCTCTCAGCCAGACTGCAACCATCACCAGCCTGGCCTGGCAAAGTGCCTCCTGGAGTATGGCTCATGGATACTCTACCCTCAGCTCGTCTCATAGCTGTTTTCTTCTCATCTTTAAGGTCTGACTGAAACATTACTTCTCCAGAAAGGCCTTCCTCTGACCACCTTATCATAAGTGGCCTCCTCACCCTGCCCCTCAAATTATTTTTTATCATAATGATCTCCAAACTTTGCTATCCATTACAGTTACCTGGGGACCTTTTACAAATCCTGATTATAATAAAATCCCAAGACAATGTGGCACTGGACATAAGGATACATATATGGATACATGGAACAGAACTGATAATCTGGAAATAAACAGTTAAATGTATGATCAATTGATTTTAGACAAAGGTGGAAAGATAAGTCAATGGGGAATGGATTTTTTTTTCAATAAATAGTGCTGGGATGATTGGATGTCCACGCCCAAAAAGATAATTTAGACCCTTACCTCATACCATACACAACAATTTACTCAAATGGATCACAAACTTAAATGCAAGAGCTAAAACTATAGAACTTTTAGATAAAAACATAGAAAAAAATCTTTGTAATCTTGGCTTAGGTAAAGAGTTTTAAGAAACCAAAAGCATGCTCTATAAAGGAAAAAATTGAGAAATTGGACTGCTTCAAAATTAAAAGCTTTGTACTTCAAAAGATATTGTTAGGAAAATGAAAAAAGAAGCCACAAACTGGGAGAAAATATTTCAAAAGTACGTATCTGATAAAGGACTTATATCCAGAATATATAAAGAACAATGAGAAGACAAATAACCCAGTTAAAAACAGGCAAAAGATAGGAACAGACATTTCACCAAATAAGATATATATACATTAGCTATATATATATATATATATATATATATATATATATATATATATATGGCTAATCATCACAGGAAAAGATGCTCCACATCATTAGGCATTGGGGAAATGCAAAACATTGGGAAAAAGCCACAATGTGATACTACTTCATACACACAAGGATGGCTATAATCACCGAGACAATAACAAGCACTGGTGGGGATGTGAAGAAACTAGAATCTTCATACATTGCTGGTGAGAATGTAAAATAGTACAGCCACTTTAAAAACTGTTTGATGTTTTCTTAAAAAGCTAAACATAGAGTTACCATATAACCCAGTAAATACCCTCTTAGATATCCCCAAAGAAAGGAAAATATACACCCATGTAAAGACTTATATGTGAACATTTAAAGCAACATTATTTACCAAAAAGTGGAGCCAGTTCTGATGTTAGTCAACTGGTAAATAGATAGACGAAATATAGTATAGCCATATAACAGAAGCAATTGAGCAACAAAAAGAAATGACGTACTGATACGTGCTACCACATGGCCAAACCTCAAAAACATTATGGTAAATGAGAAAAGCCAGGCACAAAAGACCGTATATTGTATGATTTCATTTATATGCAATGTCCATAAAAGGGAAATTGATACAGAAAGAAAGTAGAACAGTGTTTGCCTAGGGGCTGAGGGTAGGAATAAGGATTGACTGCAAATACAATGGATGTTTGGGGATGATGGGAAATATTCTAAACTTGTATTGTGGTGATGTTGGCAAAACTGTAGCTATACTAAAAATCATTTCCTTGCGTACTTAAAATGGAGAATAAAATGAATGGATTTTATGATATATAAATTACCCCTCAATAAAGCTGTTTTATAAAATTCCCAATGTCCAGGACACTCTGAGTCAAATCAAATGAAAATTAGTGGAGTGAGATTAGGCATCAGTAAATTTTTAACCTCCTCAGGTGACTCCAGGGTGCAGACAGACTTAATCATCAGTGGTCTGTCACCATGCTACTCAATGTGTGGCCCTGGCACCACCAGCATCTAATGCTGGTTAGAAATGCAGAATCTCAGGCCTCGCCCCAGACCTCCTGGATCAGAATCTGCATCGAAATAAGATGCCTACGTGATGGAGATGTCCATTAAAGTCTGAGAATCACTGCTCTGTCACAATGCATTTATCATAATCTTGATTGTTTTATGTATTTCTTAACTTCTTTGATGTACCTCCAGGACAGTTGCTACAACTCCACACAGAATGCCATGTGAATAGAGTCTCAATCCCAGGTCTCACAAGGCAGTGTCCCTGTCTATCTTGCTCACTGCTGCTTTTCCATGCCAAGCAGAATTCTTGTCACATAGCTGGTAAGAAATCGCACGTTTGTGGAATGAATAAGCAATTATTACCCTCTACCCTATCCCCCTTTTCTAACTATTGAGCTCCCACTAATATTGAAAACACAGATGAAAGTTGCCCTTCACTAGCTCCCCAGGAGAAGCCTGTTTCCCCCTCTCTGTGACCATGTTGATCCTCTGCTCACCCACCAGGACAGCAGGGAGAGCACTCAGCCTCCCCCTCCCCACCCCCATCCCCAACTGAGTGGGCATCATTCACCCACGGAGGCATCAAACAATTGCAGTTTTCTGCACAAATTAACCAGTTAATACGTAGAAAGTATTCTATTGTTATGAGGGTGCTACTTAATAATATTTTGTGTCTACCTTATGAAGACACACTGGTGAACAAAAACAGAATGACCCCTTGTCCTCTTTGGGAGTTACACTTCACCATGG